AAAAAAAAAAAAAAAGAGGAAAGGACAAGAGGGGATCATTCAAAGACAAGCAAAGGTAGATAATTTTTTAACAGAATAAAAGATCAGAATGTGTGACAACCCTCTGCATTGGCCTGGGGGTAGCCCTGAGTGGCTGTCACTAGTGGAATTCACTAATATTCTGGTTTTCCTCCTTCTGAGCACTTCGTGTGATCACAGGTCCCCACCTTTGAACCTAGTGTGATCCTGCAGCCTATTTGGAAGAAGGAAAGGTGGTGGAATGGGGTGGGCCATTTCTGGGTGGGAGGCACCTGTGATTCATCTCTTTTGCTTTCCTTTTGCCTTTGACACCCAGAATGATGGTTGCTTCATCACTCTAGTTTGTAATTGGCACATTATTTAATGGGAGAACCAAAGAACAAAGGGGTAGCTCTGGCCTCACCTCACAAAGGTCACTGTCAACCCACAGGTTGCAGTCTTTGTCACTCAGCTCTTTGCACACAGGTAGAAAGGGCCCCGACTTTGGATTCCAGGAACTAGATGCTCAGCCAGTCACTGAGTTGCTCCAGCAAGGCTGGCTGGCGAAGCCTCCTTTGTTTCCTCCCAGCATAGCCCTTCCAGGGAGACACACAGCACCTGAGGCCAGGAGCTGCACCTGCCTCTCCATCCTCCCGCCTGGCATACAGTGGGTGTTCACCGGCCGCTTGTCCAATTGAGTTCTTGGACATGGTGTGTCAAAGGAATCTTTGCAAGCTAAATAATTTGGATCTTTGGGCTTGCACCTATAGTGGAATATACCTACCATGTTTCCCCGAAAATAAGACACTGTCTTATATTTATTTTTTCTCAAGAAGACACACTAGGGCTTATTTTCAGGGGGATATCTTATTTTTATTAAGTATAATACAACAATCTACATTTATTCAGATACAGTTAAGTCCTCTTCTTCTGGAACCTGACAGGGGGAGCCGACCTTGTTGGTGGGGCTGGCACTAGTGATGCATCTTGCCCGTGGGCAATAGGATGCCTGGGACCAAGGTTACCACACGTGCACCCGCCAAATGGCTTGGGGAAAGGAGCTGTGGCAGATAAAAAGTATTCCAGTCTTCCTTACGGCTTGCACGGAAATGCATGGCGTGGCTATGTAGATACGCTATTATCGGAGTAGGGCTTATATTTAACAAATGCATAGAAATCCTGCTAGGGCTTGTTTTGGGAGTAGGTCTTATTTTTTGGGAAACAGGGTATATGGCATCTTTGCAGACTCAAAACCTGAATCTTTGTAGAATAAATCCCTTGAAATATGTGTAGGGAAATCAAAAGCAGACAGTATCTTCCACGACCAGCTAGTCAGCGGTAAGGTCGGGGTGCAGGGTGCATGGGGGCAGAGGCAGGAGAGGGGTCCTGGCTGGGATTAGATGCCAAATTAAGGCCAATGGAAAGAATTCGGTGGGCAGCGAGGAGTCTAGTCAGATTGATTAGGGTTCACGAGTCGCAACGAGGAGGCGGCCCGGAGGAGGTGATTTCAGACCCTTAGAGCAGAAGGCTAGGGGTGGCTGGCAGGTGGCAAGGCAGACCTCAGAAACCAGGAGTGGGAGCCCGAGCGAACTCAGCCGGCCTCGCACGCAGGGCTCAGGGTGAGACGCCAGGAGGAGGCGCCTCTGGAGGGCCGACTGCTTTCCAGCCCAATTAGGACTTGGAATCGTTTTTTCCTCCCTCTGAGCGTAATCTGACGCTGTTCGGGGAGCGCAAGGCGGAAACCTGATCCTCCAGTCCCGGGGCTCCGTTAATGTTTAATCAGATAGGATCGTCCGATGGGGTTCCGGTGGCGTGATCTTCGCGCCCTGGGAGTCCAGCACCCACACCCTAGAAAGTTCCCGCCGCGGCGTCGAGGCGAGCAGGGCTGCAGGCGAGCGCCGCGCGGCACAGCTGGGCTGGGGTCCGGTCCTGGAGGAGTGAGCCGGGCCGACCGTCGCGGTCCCAGACCCCGGCACCCCTCCGCGCGCCCTTTCCCCGCTGGCCCGGGCTCCCTCGCACGCACCCTCCTCCCCTCCGCGGGGTACAGTGGTCGCCAGCGTGGACCGCACGCGGCCCCCAGGTCTCCCTGCCAGGTCGCCAACCTCCACTCTCGCCTCAATGGGCACCAGCAGCCGCAGGCGGCCGTGGTGGTTGCTGAAGCCGCTCCTCCTGCTCCTGCTGCTCCTGGGACCAGCCCGAGTCCGCGCGCAGGAGGACGAGGACGCAGACTACGAGGAGCTGGTGCTAGCGTTCCGTTCCGAGGAGGACGGACCGGCGGATGCGGCCCCGCACACCGCCACTGCCACCTTCCACCGCTGCGCCAAGGTGCGGGCGTGCGGGTGGGGGCGGGAGCAAACCCTCGGGGAAGCGAGGAGGTCCCGCCTCCTCTCCGGCCTCAGTTTCCTCCCTGTGAAGGAGAAGGTTTTCCTCTGCTCACCTGACCACGGGCTTGGCGCGATCTGGGTGGGGGACTGTCGGCAGGGTGGCGGGGGCAACGGGGACCTCCCGCGCGTTGGGTTACGCGGTGGGGAAGTTCGCGGGGTTGGGAGACCCGGAGGTACCAGGGAGGACGAACAGAGCGCTGCCGGGATCGCCCACCCAGAGGCTCCGCGCCACCAGGGCGCAGGTGGGTGAGGACGCTAAGGCCTGGGGGACAAAGGAAGGTTTGCCGCGGCCCGACTTGGGTCAGGAAATGCGGGCAGTGGAGCCTGGAGGCCGGGTGTGGTGGGAGGGACGCCACGCAATGTGGCAGGAGGCAATTTCTGTCACAGAACTCAGACGCTTAACGTTGTATCTTTTTCAGCTGAAGAGAAGAATAAACTTAAGGGGAAGGGACAGAAGTGTTCTCAAGGCCTGTCAGTGTTCTTTGGGGCTCGGGCGGAGAAGGCTGTTGGTGGTCTGGCCGGAGTCTAGCATTCCTAGTAGCCGGGACCCTAAGACTGAGCCCCGTGTCACAACCCACCTGGTTTGGGTCAGCCACGGCTGGGGCCAGAAGCACCTGGCCCTCAGGGTGCGGGGAGCTGCTGCCCGGGACTAGACCCTCCAGTTTTCTCCAATCACAACCTTTCTAGGGCTTGGCTGAGATTCTCTTGCCCCAGCTTGGAGTCATACCCGGGTTGAATTCTGGCTTTGGTCTCACTAGCTGCGTGGTGCTTAGTCACTTACTCTTAACCCCCATTTCCTTATCTTTAGGAGGGAGGTGAAAATCCTTCCTATGGGTTGTGTGAGTGGCAGCTAATGGGGAATGAAAAGAAAGGACTTTTGTGGCCCACACTGGCAGCGTGGCCTGCTGGAGACACCCCCTTTGCACCAAACTGCAGCTCCTGGGGCAGAGGGGAAGTTTCCACCACTGACAGCGGCTCCTCGCCCCTCTTCCAGAGTGTGCTGGGGCAGCGGGAAGTCAGGCCCTTGCTCATCTCAGAGCACCCTCCTCCTAGAGGGATGTTGGGGGTAAAAAAGAGCATTTCTTCTTCCTTTTTTTTCAGACAGAGTCTCACTATGTCACCCTCTGGAGAATGCCATGGCATCACAGCTTACAGCAACCTCAAACTCTTGGGCTTAAGCAATTCTCTTGCCTTGGTCTCCTGAGTGGCTGAGACTACAGGCGCCCACCACAACATCTGGCTATTTTTTGTTGCAGTTGTCATTGTTGTTTAGCAGGCCCAGGCCGGGCTTGAACCCACCAGCCTCGGTGCATATGGCCGGAGTCATAACCACTGTGTTACAGGCACCAAGCCAAAAAGAAAGAGCATTTCAAGTCACCACTGTCCCAACACAACTGTTCTGGACAACCACCTAAACCAAGGGCTTGAGGGTGTTTCTTCTCTGATGGAAGTTTGAAATTTCATTTATTTGCTCATTCAATGGATATTTTTGTGGGAATCTAATTTAGAGTAAAACATTTTCTGCAAGCAGAAAAGGATTTTAGACCAATCCTTTTATTTTAGTCATGAGAAACTGAGGCTTAGAGAGAGGAAAGTGTAGGTGTTCAGAACTCTCAGAATACCTGCCCAATTCATTAGATTTTCATTTAGCAGTGGGCATTTTAGATGGGTTTTTGAAGTATAAATAGGAGTTCATTAAATGAAGGTGGTTGGAGGATTTTATTCTAGGAGTATGGGGTAGCATAAACAAAGGTACACAAGTGGGAAAGCCGTAAGTGGGGAATAAGAAGCACTTATCCATCTTCTTATTCTGAAAACCAAAAGGCTGTTTTATAAATTATTTGATAGTAGTACCTGAACTGACCTAAGGTTATTTATATAGCTTTTACTTATTCCACTTGTGCAAATAGGCATATTTGTATGCTTGGGGGCATAGATTACAGTATTCAGCTCCAGACTTCTCAGCAGACTCCCTGAATACCCATTACTAATTGGCCCAAGGGCTTTGAATAAAGGATGTCGACTCTATTTTAGCCCGTCTGGAGTTGCACATACAGAGATATGGAATATGAGGCTGCAGAGGTAGTTTGAGGAGTGGGCCAAGTTTGGATTTTATATTTATTAGTGAGCAGGCCTCTAAATCTGTTGGAATTTTATCCCTAATATTGAAGGTGGAGGCTTAATGGGAGGTTTACAGGTCATAGGAGTGGGTCTGTCATGGATGGCTTGGTGCTGTCTTCATGGGAATGAGTGAGTGAGTGAGTGAGTGAGTGAGTTCTGTATTATTTCCTATGAAAGCTGGTTGTTAAAAGGAGGCTGCCCCCTTGGCCCTCTCTTGCTTCCTCTCCCACTATGAGATCTCTGCACACACTGGCTCCCCTCACCTTCTGCCAGGCAGCAGCTTGAGACCCTCATCAGAAGGAAATGCAGGTGCCATACTTCTTATACAGCCTGCAGAGCTGTGAGCTGAATAAACCTCTTTAGAAACTACTGAGCCTTGGGTTTCCTTTATAACAGCACAGAATGACTAAGACAATGGCCTTGACGCTTCTCCTTGTTTGAGGAGTGTTGCTGTTGCTCATTCATACATCCCTCCCCCTGCATTTGCACAGCACTCAGCAGGGAGCTTTACACAACCATCTCTCTTGGCCTTCCTAGCAGGCCTTTGCCATTGGTATTATTGGCCCTACAATACAGAGGAGACATCTGAGGCTCACAGAGGTGGAGCAACTTCCTCATGGCCGTACAGCCAGTAGATGTTAGAATTGAGATTCAGGTGTACATTGTTTTGGCTCCAAAGCCCATGAGTGTTCTCTGGGCTGCCTCTGGAGGGGATCTTGGAGGTCCTGGAATGGGGAGGGAGAGATTTATTCTCATGGGGGTAGAGGTAGGGGGTGGCTTTGAGCAGGGTCTCCAGGGGTGTCCAGGCCTCAGTTGGGCCCATAAAGAGCTAGGTACAAGTTCAGAGCAGAGCCCCTAGTTTCCATGTTGGCCTGGCTACCAAATTTGAATGTGTTATATAAATGATGTTTATACTTACAGTTGACCTATGTAGTTTTTTTTTTTTTTTTTGCTTTTTGTTCTCATTTGGTGACTTTTCCTTACAGTTTACTATGCTCTATCACATCTCTTTTGTTGTAATTCTAATTTGTAAATAGAGGTGAGATAAGGGCACCTTGGACTTGGTGGGCTGTTTCCATGTCATCATGTCTCTCCTCGTCAGGACACCTGGAGGTTGCCAGGCACCTACGTGGTGGTGCTGAAGGAGGAGACCCACCACTCACAGCCGGAGCGCACTGCCCGCCGCCTGCAGGCCCAGGCTGCCCGCAGGGGCTACCTCACCAAGGTCCTGCACATCTTCCACGACCTCTTTCCTGGCTTCTTGGTGAAGATGAGCAGTGACCTGCTGGACCTGGTGAGCATCCTCTCTGGGTGTGGCACTTCCTGATAGGGCTGGGCTACCACATACATCTTGGGGACTGTCCTTCGTGTGCCCACTGCTAAAAATTAAAGGGGGACAGCAAACATTTGCTGAGCACTTGGTAGGCACCAAGGAGAGTGACTCCTGGCTTTATATGTAGAATACCCTTTAAACCTGGCCACGCCCTACTGGCACATCCACCTTCATTTGAAAGATGAGGAGGCTGATGTTTGGAAGGGACCACACAGACAGACAGCTAGGGGCAGAGCCTTCATCACACCCAGTGGTCCGCCTGCTAGCCATTCTTGTGTTCATGCATCTGCTGCCTGGAGGTACCTGGTAACAAGGCCCTGGGACATTCAGTGGAGCCTGAGTCATGCTTTGTAAAAGCATGACTCAAGGGTGCAAAATGCCTTTGAAACTGATGCTCTAGTCCCTCCTTTAGGATATGGAAGCTCTTCTTCTTCCTGGATGTCACATCTTTAGTGGAAGGACAGAAAGGGGACTAGGTAGTTGAGAAATTACCCTGGCCCTTGTGCTTCAAATTCAAATCTTAAAAGTCTTTCCTTCTTTTTTTTAAATTTTTTTTGAGACAGAGTCTCCCTTTGTTGCCCTTGGTAGAGTCCCGTGGTGTCATAGCTCACAGTAACCTCCTCAAATTCTTGGACTCAAGCTATTCTCTTGAGTCAGTCTCCTGAGTAGCTGGGACTATAGGCACCTGCCACTACGCCCAGCTAAAAAGTCTTTCTTATTTTTGCTTCTTCCCTCACCTCCCAGCTCACCCCTTTCCCTGTCCCCTAATTTGATGGGAATATGTGGTTCTCATTTTCACTCTGATTCTCGGCTTCCTGCAGACACTAAGACCCAGAGTGGGACAGAGTCTTGCCTGAGGTTGCACAGCAAGCAACTAGCACGGTCAGAGTTTGGATCCAGGTCCCCTAGTTCTGCCACACTTCTGCTCCATGGGTTAATCAGTTCAGCATCCTGTGGCTTAACTACTATGTGCTAAGTCCAGGAGGGGCAAAGACAAAGTCCTGCCCTTGGGAACCCTTAGTCTGGTAGGGGAGAATGATAGGTAAATGCAAAGTCCTGCCCTTGGGACCCCTTAATCTGGTAGGGGAGACTGATAAGTAAATGCTTCCATCAGTCTGCTTAACACACACTTAACCAGAGCCCACTGTGAGCCGCAGAGGCAGCCCCAGGCAGTTCTCTCAAGCTTACAGCTCAGGAGACTGACCATTGCTTGCCAGGACAGTTAACTGTGGGACCACCTGCTCAGCATGGGGGAGGATGGGGAAGCAAGCAGGAGGGCAAGCAGGTGCATCACAGGCCAGCACGGCTTCCCAGCAGAGGGGAGGCAGAGCAGGAGGGGGAATAGAAGACTGCAGACACCTGCCATCAAGAGCTGGGTTTCGGAGTGCTAACAGCCTGGGTTGATTTGTCTGGCCTTGGGCAAATTCTTTCACCTCTCTGAGCCTCAGTACCCTCTCTAAGCCAGGTGTAATAATTGGAACAGTCAGTTAAGGACCAGGTGAGATCAGGAAGTGCTTCAGCAGATGCTAGATACTCACTGAGGTGCAGGCAGGTCAGGGAGTCACTGGGGTCCCCGAGGCAGGCAGAGACCAGAGAGATTATCACCTCCAGGGTGGAAAAGGGAGGAGAGGGAGTAGCTTTTCTCTGCCCAGTGGGAGCTGGCAGCATGGAGGAGGGGCTGCCCACGAGGTGTCACCCACGGGTGCAGCCACTGCCAGACCCTGCACTGAAGCAGGGAGTGGAACAGACACACTCTCATCCCCAAACTACTGCAGCTGCTGCAAGGGGCCTGGTGCTGCCGTCTGCAGGGTGGGCCTTCTGGCACAAGGTGGGGCAGAGAAGATGGGGATGGCTCTAGGGACAAACGGAATTGCTGGGGCTATTTTGTTGAGCATGGAGTCTGGGGCCTGAGTTTCGCTCCTTGTCCGGCCTGCCAGACCTTCAGCACTGCGTGGCTCCACAGATGAGGTGTCAGATTCAGAATCTTTCCTGAAAAGACTCCTCTGTGCTGGGTGATGCTGGGCACAGCTGCAGACCCACGGGAGTGCTGGGCTCCCCAGCCGGATCCCGCATGGGGAAACGCTGGCTCCTGGTTTATCATCCAGGGTGCCAGAGGGAGTCTGCTGGGCTGAGGTGGGAGGAGGCTGGGCTGGGCTGGGGGCACGGGTTAGAGCAGGTGGTGCCTGGGCTGTGGCTGTGTTTGCTGCTGGCCAAGTGGCTTGAGCAGAGTCCCTTGGCTTTTCCGGCTTCCGCAGGCGTTGAGGTTGCCCCAGGTCGAGTACATCGAGGAAGACTCCTTTGTCTTTGCCCAGAGCGTCCCTTGGAACCTGGAACGAATTATCCCTGCGCGGTACCAGGCGGATGAATACCAACCTCCCAGTAAGACCTGTGCCCAGCTTGCCTTTCACTGTTGTAGCTGAATTCACTTATGCTGCTCTGGCCTCCCTCCTGTGGTGCTGCTCACCTCCCCGGAGCTTTGGGCTCAGCGTCCTCCACTGACCACTTCTTCTCGGTCCTGTCCCCAGCCTACAGCCCCTGCTCCCTGCCTTCCTGTTGCTCCATGGAGAACATGGCGGGGTTGGGGTGGCGGGGATCTTTCCTCTCTTGCACGTTATAAAGTTCCCGTTCACTTCTTCTCTGTGTTTGGAGTGGCCAGCAGGTCTCACCTTGGCAGAGGGTGTGTCCGACTGTGACCCTACCCGAGGGCCCCTGCAGACAGGACCAGATCCCTTAACAGGACAGTCACGGCCCTGCTGGATTGCCCCCGCCCCGTGTCTCTAGCTGCCTGTCTCACCCTGTTCTAACTGTTCTACTGTTGGCTTCCTGGGGACCCCTGCGGGCATCCGACTGTGTGTCCCCCTCTAGACCTTTCCTCTGCCTGGTGTGGCTGGCTGTGGGCCAGGAGAGTGGGAGAAGGAGAGGCAGAGGAAAATGACCTGGGTTCTAGGACAGCCTCACTGATTGAGCTGGGAAGGACTGTAAGTTCACCAGCTGTGAGGAGAAGATGGGGTTCTGGTTGTTCTAGGTTAAAGTTGAGGCACCCATGGTCTGAGGTCTTGTGCTCAGTGGAGAGATTAGACACGCAGTGCCAGAACCCAGAGCCTAGGGCGAGCTCAGCCTCCACCGCTTACATGGTCTTGTGGAGTCTTGGAAAGCCATCTCCTCTCCGAGCCTCACCTTTCTCATCTGTAACATGGGCACAGTAACCCTGTCCCTGTCCTCCCAGGTTGTTGCGAGACTCCAGTGAGGTGAAGGATATGCAAAGGCTTTTGGAACTGAAAGACTGGGTGGCCTCCAAGTTGCTGTCCTGGTGACAGATCAGAGCTTGCAGCCAGGGTGTGGAGGTAGGGGGTGCAGAGCAGCATTGACAAGGGCAGCAGCTGCAGAGGTGAGAGTCCTAGACAGGCAGGGTGTGCTGACCAAGAG